TTTTTTTTTTTTTTTTTTTTTTTTTACTGGTTAACAAAAATTTATTTATTATAAAAGAAATATTACAGCACATGTCATTAGTTTGATAACAGTAATAGAAAAAATCTACATAACAATAATACAAAACTAAATACCTAGAATATATTAAAAATTAATATATCCCTGATGAACCAGGATAACTAAACAAAAATAGAAATAAAAGAAAAAAAATCAACCCATAAGGGCGAAAATAAAAGAAATTACCTAAGAAAAAATAAAATAAAATAAAAGAAAAAATATTTGAAAAGTATACTGATTAACACGAACTATAAAATCCAAAGATTCTATATTAAAGTATATATAATTCAAAAGCCCTTTTACATTTTGATAGACTTTATGATTAATACCTTTTTTAACCATATTTTTATTATAACTATAATGTTTTTTATCCTCTTTAGTAACACCTAAACTTCTTTCTTTATCTTTTTGTAAATCACATCTATCAAGCCAAATCTTATGTGTAGATTTAAAAACGAAATCTAAAAATTTAACTCCAGTTTCGAATATATGAGCTTTAGTCATTTTTATTTCTTGTCGTAAGAAATCAGCTAAGAGTTTTCCTTTAATAATATCAATGAAAGTTAATTTATTATCATTAACTTTAACTTTACCAAAAGATTTGTTTATAAATAAGTCGATTATTTTTGCTTCATCAAAAGTATATAAATCGTATTCTTTAATTTTTTCAATTAAACATATTATTGAATAATATATAATATTTCGCATTCTTTTACGATTTGAATAACAACGCCAAACATGGCCAAAAGTTTCTTTCTTTCGCTCACAGACAGGACATTTCCAATCCTTATATATATCAAAATTAATCAATTTTCTTTGTTCTACAGTCAGAATTTCTTCAATTAAATTCTTAATTTTATAATGATGTCGTTTAGTTGTGTGGAAATTAGTTTGTAAAACATTTTCATTTTCCTTTAAGAATTCAAACGTAATTGCCCATTCTACGCTATCTAATGTATATTTTTGATTCCTTCGATGATTAAAAAATTTTTCTAAATTTAAAATTTCATTATAATATCATATAAAACGTCTAATCGGTTTTTCAATAATAATATTATTCCATGTAAGCATATATTCGATTTTATCGAGTTGAGAAAAATTAAAAATAACTGAATATACCCTATTCCTATCTGAATATCGATTTTTAATTTATTGATCTAAATTATGATATACATTATCGTCATGTGCTTTGATTTTGGTAATTTTTGGTATGATTATTTCATTTAAATCTATAAATTGTCGAATTAAAGCCCAAATATAAATGTTATTCTGTGTTTTTAGTAATTTGTGTGTATTATAAATTTTGATTTTGCATATAATTTCATTAAAGTAATTAAGAATAAATTCATTATCTGTAATTATCTCGACATTATTAATATTATGAATGATAAGCAACGCGAGTATAAAACTTGTCACTTCTGCTTTACTTGGAGAAATCCAATGTTCAATATTAATGTAAAATTCGTCAATTAATTTATGATCTTTATTGTAAAAATGTAAACCAGCTATTCCATCGATATTTTCTGTTCCATTATTTATAACAGAACCATCTATATATACGAAAATTTGTTCTCCATGTTGTTGTATTAATTTGTAGTTAATAACGTTGTCACCCACGTCTGCCACCCGTGGATAAACACATCTTTCTCATTTAACTTTATTTCTCGTTACTTTGCTTGGTTTAGATTTTATTTTTCTTTTAACTTCTCGCTTTTTTTCTCATTTATCCGTAGTATTTATTCTCAATACTACCACTTATTCATAATATTCCCAAAATATCATGCTTCCTGTAATATTTATTCTTTCAAATATTACCACTTCATTTCTTATAAACTGCGAGAGTTCT